GGGGTGGAGGTTTGGACTGGACGCCCAAAAGGGGAACCGGGGGGGGGGGGGGGGGGATGGAGGATGAGGCGGCGGAGGAGGAGAAGGAGGAGGATGAGGAGAAGGAGGATGAGGAGGAGGAGGAGGCAGAGGTGGAGGAGAAGGCGGAGAAGGCGGAGAAGGCGGAGTCTGCGTGGGGGAAGGGAGGAGACGGAGGAGGAAGAGGAGAAGGAGAAGGAGGAGGAGGAGGCGGCGGAGGAGGAGGCGGCGGAGGAGGAGGTGGAGGAGGATTTCGATGTTGATAATGATGTGGATCAGGATTAGGTGGAGGAGGATGGGGGATCATACTGGAAGTAATGATGAGGATGCTGATGCTGATGCTGACGCTGATGATGATGATGATGATGATGATGGTGGTGGTGGTGGTGGTGATGCTTATGATGGTGATTCTGATGCTGATGATGAGTATTATGATGAGTATGTTGTTGTTGATGATGATGATGATGATGATGATGATGATGATGATGATGATTATGATAAGGAGCATGAGGAGGAGGAGGAAGAGGAGGATGAGAAAGAGGTGGAGGAGGATGCGGAGGAGGCGGAGGAGGAGGATGAAGATGAGCATGATGATAATGCTGATGAAGATGCTGCTGATGACGATGCTGATGCTGATGATGATTGTGATCATGCTGATACTGATGGTGATGCTGATGATGAGGATGATGGTCATGATGATGATGATGCTGATGATGATGATTATGATGATGATGATGGTGATGATGATGATGATGACGACGGTGACGGTGATGACGACGATGATGATTGTGATCATGCTGATACTGATGTTGATGCTCATGATGCTGCTGATGATGATGCTGATGTTGATGGTGACGATGCTGCTGATGATGCTGATGATGGGGATGAGGAGGATGAGACGTAGGGTGAGGAGGATGAGGAGGAAGATGCGTCGGAGGGGGGAGTATGAGGAGGAGGATGGGGAGATCATCGATGCTGATGGTGCTGATGATGATGCTGATGATGACGATGCTGCTGCTGATGATGATGCTGCTGCTGATGATGATGCTGATGCTAATGATGAAGATGCTGATGATGACGACGATGCTGCTGCTGATGATGACGATGCTGATGATGATGCTGATGCTAATGATGATGCTGGTGGTGGTGGTGATTCTGATGATGATGATGATGATGATGGTGATCATGATCATGATGATGATGCTGCTCATGATGATGCTGATGCTGGTGATGATGAGGGTGGTGATGTTGCTGATTTTGATGTTGAGATTGCTGATGCTGCTGCTGCTGCTGCTGATGATGATGATGATGATGATGATGATGCTGGCGCTTATGATGCTGATTCTGGTTCTGATGACAATGATGATGATGATGCTGATACTGCTGATGATGCTGCTGATGATGACGATGCTGATGATGCTGATGGTGATGATAATGATACCGCTGGTGGTGGTGGTGGTGATTCTGATGATGAGAAAGAGCGTGTTCTACCGCTGCTGGCGGAAAACCAGGGGGGGTCACTACCGGTTCGAACCCCTCCCCCCCCCCCTCCGGAAAACCGGGGGGGGTCACTACCGGTTCGAACCCCTCCCCCCCCCCCAGTTCATCATGAAAAGGGGGGGGGGTCACTATCGGTTCGAACCCCCCCCCCCTCGAAAACCGAGTGGGGGTGCGGACAGTGGTGGGGACGGTGTTGGTGGGGACAGTGGTGAGGGGGGACAGCGGGACAGTGGTGGGGACAGTGGGACAGTGGGACAGTGGTGGGGACGGTAGTGGTGGGGACAGTGGTGGGGACAATGGTGGGAACAGGGGGGACAGTGGACAGTGGTGGGACGGTGGTGGTGGGGACAGTGGTGTGGGGACAGTGGGAATGAGGTGGAAACAGTGGGACAGTGGAGGGTACAATGGTGGTGGGGACAGTGGTGAAGGCGGTGGCGAGGACGGCGGTGGGACAATGGGACAGAGGTACAGTGGGGACAGTGGTGGGGACAGTGGGGACAGTGGTGGGAACAGTGGGACAGCTCAGTGGGACAGCGGCGGAGTCAGTGGGACAGTGGGGACAGTGGGGATAGTCGGGCAGTGGTTGGGGCCGTGGAGACAGTGGGGAGAGTGGAACCGTGGTGGGAACAGTGGTGGGGACAGTGGGGACAGTGCGACAGTGGTGGGGGCACTGGTGGGGACACAGTGGGGACAGTGGTGGTGAGGACAGTGGTGCTGGGAACAACAGTGGAGGATGTGATGCGGACGGTGGTAGGGACCGGGAGTCGTTTGCTGGCGGTGAGTGGGGGGGTGGGGAGGGGTTCGAACCGGTAGTGATCCCCCTCCGGTTTTCGAGGGGAGGGGGGGGTTCGAACCGGTAGTGTGACCCCCCCTGGTTTTCCGGATCCGGAGGGGGGGGGGGGAGGGGTTCGAACCGGCAGTGACCCCCCCCTTTTTTCGAGGGGGGGGGGGGGGGGGAGGGGTTAGGGGAGAGGGGGGGGTTTTGCCGGGGGAGGGGGGGGGGGGGGGAGGGGTTCCAGCAGGGGGGTGGGGGATTTTCGGAGGGGGGGGGGCGACCCCCGGGTTACGCAGGAAAAGGTTGGCAATTTTCCACAGTAAAGCGGCGGTGGATCACGCTCTCTCGATGATGATGATGATAGTGGTCATGATGATGATGCTGATGCTGATGATGATGGGGGTTGTGATGTCGCTGATGTTGACGTTGATGACGGTGATGCTGATGATGATGATGCTGCTTACGCTTATGATGCTGATTCTGGCTCTGATGGCGATAATGATGTTGATGCTGCTGATGATGCTGCTGATGGTGTTGATGTTGATGCTGATGCTGATGCTGATGATGATAATGATGGTGATGGAGTTGATGTTGTTGTTGATGGTGATGATTATTATGATGATGAGGATGATGCTGCTGATGATGATGGTGATGTTGATGCCGATGTGGATGCTGACGATGATGAGGACTGTGATGGCGATTATATTGATGATGGTGGTGGTGGTTTTGGTGATGATGGCGATGATGTTGATGATGCTGATGGTGTTGATGATTATGCTGTTGATAGTGTTGATGATGATATTGATGATGGTGGTGGTAGAAGTGGTGTTGGTGATGATGCTGATGATTCTGATGATGATGATGAGGATGCTGATGCTGATGCTGATGCTGATGATGATGCTGATGCTGCTGATGATGATTCTGATGATGCTGATGATGATGATGATGCTGACGTGGATGTTGATGTGATGATGTTGATGATGATGATTATAATGCTGATGATGCGGATGATGAAGGGGATGATCATGATGATGATGATGATGACGCTGATGATGATGATGCTGATGCTGATACTGATGCTGATGATGATGATGATCATCATGCTGATATGCTGATGATGCTGATGATGATGCTGATGCTGATGATGATGATGATGATGATGATGATAATTATGATGATGATGGTGATGATGGTGAGGATGAGGCTGAGGATGAGGATGAGGATGATGATGATGATGATGATGATGATGATGATGACGTGGTGGTGGTGGTGATGATGATGATGCTGATGATGATGATGATGAGGATGATGATGATGGTGATGATGAGGATGATGATGATGGTGATGATGATGATGCTGCTGATGATGCTGATGATGCTGATGATGATGATGATGCTGATGCTGATGATGATGATGATGATGATGATGGTGGTGGTGGTGGTGGTGATGATGATGATGGTGATGATGATGATGGGATGATGGGTGATGATGATGATGATGATGATATATGATGGTGATGGTGATGGTGATGTGTGGTGGTGATGGATGATGATGATGATGATGATGATTATGGTGGGTGGTGGTTGGTGGTGGTGGTGGTGCTGATGATGATGATGATGAGGAGGAGGAGGAGGAGGATGATGGATGATTATGATGATGAGATGATGAGGATGATGATTGATGATGATGATGATGATGGTGGTGGTGGTGGTGGTGGTGATGATGATGATGATGTTGATGTGATGCTGATGATGAGGAGGAGGCGGAGGGAGATGAGATGATGATGATGATGATGATCATGATGAGATGATGATGATGATGATGATGATGATGTGGTGGGTGGTGTGGTGATGACGATGATGATGAATGATGATGATGATGATGATTATGATGAGATGATGATGATGATGAAGATGAGATGATGATGCTGATTTCGATGATGATGATGATGATGATGATGATGGTGATGGTGATGGTGATGGTGATGATGATGAGATCATGATGATGATGACGATGATGATGATGATGGATGATGATGATCATGATCATGATGATGATGATGATGATGATGATGATGATGGTGGTGGTGGTGGTGGTTGTGGTGTGTGATGATGATGCTGATGATGATAATGATGATGACGATGACGATTTGATATGATGATGATGGATGATGATGATAATGCTGATGATGATGAATGATGGATGATGATGATGTTGATGATGATGGATGATGATGATGATGATGGTGGTGGTGGTGGTGTGGGGTGCTGGATGTGATGATGATGCTGATGATGATGATGATGATGATGATGATGATGATGATGATGATGATGTTGATGTTGATGATGATGATGATGATGATGATGATGATGATGATGATGATGATGATGATGATGATGATGACGACGACGGGACGACGACGACGAGGTGGAGGATGAGGAGGATGAGGAGGAGGAGGAGGAGGTGGTGGACGAGGAGGAGGAGGAGGAGGTGGAGGAGTAGAAGGAGGAGACGGAGGAGGCGCCTTGGGGGCGGGGCGAGGAGGAGGGTCAGTTGCAGGAGTTGGAGGAGGAGGCGGAGGAGGAGGAGGAGAAGGAGGAGGAGGAGGAGGAGGAGGAGGAAAAGGAAGGGGTGAGGAATAGGTGGCGGAGGATGAGGAGGAGCAGGAGGAGGAGGAGAACGAGGAGGAGGACATTGGGCAAGCCAGGCATCAGCGCAGCGGGAATCCGCGACGCAGAGCCGCAGGCAGCTGACCAGGAGGCGCGAGCGTGTCTCGCTCTCTTTCTCTCTCTCGCTCTCTCTCGTCCTCTCTCCCTCTCCCTCTCGCTCTCTCTCTCTCTCTCTCTCTTTATCTCTCTCCCTCTCGTTCTCTCTCTTTCTTTCTTTCTCTCTCTCTCTCTCTTTCTCCCTCTCCCTATTGCTGTACATATGTGTACAGACAGGCATTGAGGTATCTATGTACATGCATACGTCAACCAACGCGGACCCCGAACAGTGTGGTCCGTTTCTGGGGGTATATGTTGCGAAACCTAGGTGGAGCAATCTAGGTGGTGCAATCTACGTGCTGCAATACATGTTGTGCAATCTACGGTTGGTTGGCTATGTTTAGCAGCGTGTGCCCCGATGCTTTTGTCCCCCCCCCCCCCCGGCGAGGCCCGTGACACGCTAAGCACTTTGGCATGGCCGCCGGGGCCGAAATTCAGGAGGGGAAAAAACACTCAGACACAATTACTCGTCGATGCCCCGGAAAATATGGGAAACTAGTGGTAGTGGGGGGGAGACAAAACCCAAGAAAATACGGGAAAGTATGTGACAACCTGTTATTTGTGTCTATTTATTTGTGTGTCCCAGGGCCCCTTCAGAAATTTATATGCCCTTTTCTTCTTTTGGGAGGACTGCCTTGTACACGCTGAGCGCTGGGTTTAGGATCGGCACCCGAGCTGCCCTGACACACGCTAAGCGCACCCCTCAGAAAAGGAGGAGGAGGGAGGAGGAGGAGGAGGAGGAGGAGGAGGAGGAGGAGGAGGAGGAGGAGGACGTGGAGGAGGAGGGATCAGGATGGGTAGTCAACTTTCAAGTTGGGCTCAGAGGAGGGAGGGCAGGGAAGAGAGGCGGAGGGCGGGATCTTTGTCGCCGCGTCCGGCCTCTGGGGGCTCTCGCTGGGCCCAAGGGCCGTCAAGGAACGGCTCACGAGGGGGCGCGGGGGGGGGGTGCCTGCGCCTGTTTTGTAAGGCGAGGAGTCGCTGAAAAAGCACACAAGGAGGGTCCAGGAGGGTGGGGATGTCAGACGCTCCCCCCCCAACAAAAAAAAGCTGAAGCGGGCGGGCCTGGGGGCCGCGCTCGGCTTCGGGGCGCCCTCGCCGGGCCTCGGGAGCGTCAAGCAACGACTCGGGACGAGAAGCAAGCCCCGGGGGAAGTGGTCCGGACCTCCGGGGCCCGTGTCGGGTCGGGCGAAAGGTGGGGAGGCGCGGTGGGGGCGCCAGCGCCTGCTTCTGTAGGGAGGGGGGGCCCTGAAAAACCATGCAAAGAGGGTCCAGGAGGGTGGGGGGTGCCAGCATGGTGGGGGCGCGCGGTGCGAGTGCCGTCGCTGGCTTTTGTAGGGTGGGGGGTCCCAGGAGGGTCGGGGTGTCAGACCTGGTGGGGGGGTGCGGTGGGAGTGCCGGCGCCTGTTTTTGTAGGTTGGGGGGTCCTTGGAGAAGCACAGAAAGAGGGTCCAGGAGGGTGGGGGTGTCAGACGTCGTGGGGGGGCGCGGTGGGGTGTGCCGGCGCCTGTTTTTGTAGGGTGAGTGGTCGCTGAAAAAGCACACAACGAGAGTTCAGGAGGGTGGGGGTGTCAGACGTGGTCCGGGGGCGCGGTGAGGGCGCCGGCGCCTGTTTTTGTAGGGTGGGGGGTCCCAGAGAAAGCATGCATGGTTTTTGAAGGATTTAGGCGTTCTCGCTTTTCCCGCTTCCCAGCGCTCCTTCACGGCCTCGCTCGGAGGCCCTTCAGATCGCTCCAAGACGGGCCACGAGGCCCCGAAGAGGGCCCCAAGACGGCCCAGGAGGCTCCCCAGACAACCCAACTGTGCCCCAAGAGCTCCCCCAGAGAGGGCCCAGAGGAGGACCGCCAACCGATATTTCGGGGGTCTCTGGCCCTAGAGGCCGCCTGTAGGCCTGGAGGCCACCAAGAGGCTCCCACGAAGCCCCGTGAGGCGCCCAAGAGGCCCCCAGGAAGCCCCAAGAGACCCCCAAGGGGCTCCCAGGGAACGCCCAAGAGGCCCCCCAACACACCTTAAGAAATCATGTCTCCAGAAGACCTTCTGGGGACATGGTTCATCATGGGCCCGAGAGTTCCCGGAGGCCCCCAGGGGGCCCCCAGGGAACGCCCAAGAGACCCCCCAACACACCACAACAAACCATGTCCCCAGAAAGCCTTCCAGGGACATGGTTCATCATGGGCCCGCGAGTCTCCGGAGGCTTCGAAGTACCATCATGCTACAGGAGAGCTGTCTGGAAAGTTGATTGGGAACATGACTGATCGCCTTCTCGCGGCCCTCCGCAGATCGTTTCGCACAAAGTTGCCCCAAGTGCCCTCTTGAACGACGACGACGAAACGACGAACCGACGACGACGAACGACGACGAACGACGACGACGACGACGACGACGACGACGACGACGACGACGACGACGACGACGACGACGACGACGACGACGACGACGACGACGACGACGACGACGACGACGACGACGACGACGACGACGACGACGGCGCGCCCCAATAGGCGACGACGATCTTACGACGACGACGGCACGCCCCAACAGGCTCCCCAAGACGCCCCCAAACCCATGCTCCCAGAAGGCCTTCTGGGAACCCGATTCATATGGCCTCCGCCCCCTTGCACAACCATTTTCCTCGAAGACCTTTCGGAATGCAGATTGGCATGCGTGTGCTGTGGTCCACTACTTCAGTGGAGCAGTGAATTCGTCAAGGTCTGGGGCCTGCTAGAACCTGAGCGCGCGCGATGGTTCTAGTCTATATATAGGTATATTGGTATGTGTGTGTGATATTAAGAAGATTCCGGCACGCGCGCGCGACGACGCGCGCGTGCGCATTTCGTCCCAGTATTTGCAAGCTATTTTTATATGTAAAAAACGGTTGATTCTTGAAAAGCGAGTGTGCGCGCATAGTTTTTTCCAGAGGATGAGGGGGGGGGAACTGGCCTGCCTGGGGTGATATGAATTCAGATTTAGGATGGACAGTGGGGGCAGAACCGTTCGCAAATTTCATGTCCCCAGGGGGGGTCGGGGGGGAGATCCCAGTCTTTTTTTCGAAAGGAGAGAATCTACGCAGTGCTGGTTAAATTCTGTTCGCAATGAGTCGTCCACTCCACTGCTGGCGCAATCACTCCACCCACCCACAAACAACTTGGTTTGCAAAACCCATGCGACGGCGATTGCGATGAATGCTTGGAGTTGGCTGGTGCATTTCTGCCTCCACGCTAGCCCGCGCATGCTCGCGAGTGCAGCGGCCAGCTAGTTTGGCGCGACCGACGCGGCCGCGGTGCCGGTGGCCGTTGAGCACATCCCAGCGGGCACTGCAGTGCGAACCGGCGACTTGGGCGGGCGCTGTATCATGGCAGCGTCGACACCGATACGCGCGATGATGATGGTAGCGATGCTGGTGACGATGATGACAACGACGACGTCAAGGCCAGTGACGGTGCCGATGCTGATCACGCCGCCGACGATGACGGCGTCCTCGCATCGGTGATGCACGTTTTTGATATGGTGTTCGGCATGCGCGCGCGGCCGACACGCGAGAATGGCCCGCATGGTCAGAATGAGGGGGCTGGGCCGAACGGTCATTCACTCTCCCTGGGCGCGTGGCTGAAGTGGATGGAATTCCGCGATGCGGATTCTTGTGGTTGTTGTTGTTGTTGCTGCTGTTGTTGCTGTTGTTGCTGTTGTTGCTGTTGTTGTTGAATAGGAGCGGGCGCCGAGCCACGGCGTTCCCCCCCCCAGCGACAACAACAACAACAACAACGCGGACGGCTCCCGCTCGAGATTTCCTCGCAATTCACTGAGGACAGATGGATTCCTACACAGGGGCCTCGGCGCCCCCCCCCCCCACACCCCTACGTCCCCGCACTCCCGCGCCCCCAGACACCCAAACGGCCCCCAGACACCCAAAGGGACGCCCTGTAGGGATCCAACTTGGCCTCCTCCCAGGTCTCCTACAAGACACGGTCACACCCCATCGTCTCGGTCCGCCGTCGACTGGGGAAAGGACAATGATCATGATGAATCTGATGATGATCGTGATGATGGTGGTGGTGGTGATGATGATTATGATGTCATAATGGTGATACTGAGGATGATGATCATGATGATGGTGGTGGTGGTGGTTGTGGTGATGATGGTGATGATGCTGCTGCTGATGATGATGATGCTGGTGATGATGATGATGATGATGGTTGTGATGATGATGCTGATGATGATGCTGATGATGATGATGATGATGGTGGTGGTGGTGATGATGCTGATGATGATGGTGGTGATGCTGATTATGATGATTATGCTGGTTATGATTTTGATGATGCTGCTGCTGCTGATGATGATGATGATGGTGGTGGTGGTGGTGGTGTTGGTGTTGGTGGTGGTGGAAGTGGTGGTAGTGATGGTGATGATGATTCTGGTCTCCGACTAGGCCTCTTCCCAGGTCTCTAAGAAGACACTGTCAACAGCTGGTAGGATCCCTATCGGGATCCGATGGCAGCTGGTAGGATCCCATATAGGGGCCCCAGTACAACTGCTAGGACCCCTATAACGATCCTATTACAGCTGGTAGGATCCCCATGGGGATCCTAGTGCAGCTGGTCGGATCCTTATAGGGATCCTATTGCAGCTGGTAGGATTCCTGTAGGGATCCGGTTGCAGCTGGTAGGATCCCTATAATGATCTAATTGCAGCTGGTAGGATCCTGGTAGGGATCTTATGACAGCTAGTAGGATCCCTGTAGGGATCCTCTTGCAGCTGGTAGGATCCCTGTAGGGATCTTATCGCAGGTGGTAGGATCCCTATGAGGATATTGCAGCTGGTGGGATTCTTATTGGAATCCTATTACAGCTGGTAGGATCCCTATAGGAATCTGATCACAGCTGGTCGGATCCCTTTAGCAGTTGGTCGGATGCCTATAGGGATCCTATTTCAGCTGGTAGGATCCTTATATGGATCCTATTGCAGCTGGTAGGATCCTTATCAGGATACGATCGCAGGTGG